GGAGAGATTAAATTACAAGAGATTTCATGGATCTAAACTACACTGGTTAAGGGACAAAAAAGCAAAGTTTTTGGCATGACATTTGTGTCTTTGCTTGTTGTATTACTAATCCTTTTTACCATTGTACCATGAAACCTCTGATCATTTATTCTCTCTTGGCCTGTACTTTATCTGTAGTTCCCTTCTGTAGTTCCCACCCTTTCTCTACAACCCACCCCCTTTCACTTATGCAACTATTATGTTTCTAAACTTTAGTTCTGCTGACTTTTTCCACAGATGCTGCCTGTCCTCTTGCACGCTTCTAATATTTTCTTTTTTCAGTTAAAGTTTTAGTTTTATATTGTTGGTCCTAGAGTTTAGGAAAACAAACTAAGCATCTTTTCAATGTCTATCCTGTCAAACCCTTCCATAATCTTGGAGTGCTGTCTTATAAAAGTACTTTGAATATTATTCACTGTTATACTTGAAGTGCTGGTTAGAGAGAGTTACGTCCTTGAAGCCTTTAGGTTCTTGAATTTCTTTTATTCCTGTGGTGATATTGTACTTTGACTATGGGTGATGAATTGTGAAGAGGACATCAATGAGCCCTGGACCTAAAAGTTGTTATACCAGAAAATAAATCCCTTGATTTCATTTTGGACAATAATGTACTGTTAGCATTTTGTTTGTGGGCCTGGGGAATGGAATGTTTTTGTTTCAGTGTGAAAGAAAGGGAATGTAGGTGATAGAAATGTTCATGCCCTGTGCAAAACAACTGTGGCACCTTTAAGTTTTATGTTGACTTGAAAGACTAGGTACATGTTATGTTGTTGACATTTTGTACTATCCACAAAATGACCACTAAATTTGCCTGATCTGTGGAACTGGGCTGACAGCTCATGGTTTTAAACTCAGAGGTATTACCAGCCCCACTGTACTGTTTTTTTTTTGTTTTGGCATTTACCACAAGGTATAACATATCATTACAAATATACTATGTTTGTTACAAATGTGGAATTATGTAATTACCTCCAGTGCTAGATGAGATGATCGTGTACAGAATATGGCAATTACGTTAAAACCATGATTTTTACAGGGTAATTGTTTCCTTTTTCTCAAACTGGCAAAGTTTTAACTTGTGTGCAGCTAGATATAGAGCATTAAAGTTTACAAATGCTTCAGCTCGGCTTTTAAATGCAGTGGTCTCGTAAAACAAACTTCTTTGAAACAAAATGAAAGCATGATATTGTGGAAACTGGAAGTGTGAAATAAAAACAGCTTGCAGGGAGTGCTCATGCCTTGCAAAATCTGGTGAGAGAGAAATTGAGTTACCGTTTCAAATCAAATTGGCAGGTCTGAAGAGTCAAAATATTAATTCTGTTTCTGTCTCCACAGTTGCTAACAGACTTCCTGCATAGTTACAGTATTTTCCATTTTTGTTTTTTCTAAATTAAGCATCATTGAAGATTGTGTAGTTCTGTGAGCAAGTATTGCTTACAATACTATGGTGTATCACGTTAGTCAAACCAATATCGTTGGCACAGGTCTGGTGGTACTGTTGGCATTAGTTTAGGATTGTGCCATTGAGGAAGTTTGTGAATTTCTGTAAAGGAGTGAAAAAATGAATTATGTGGTTGTCGTGCACAAAAATTCAATTTTCTGTACTTAACCCTGTATTCTGGTCACAGGAAAATACTTAATATTTTACACTTTAGTGATGACTTGATACATCATTATAATCTTTGCAGAAAAGTCTTTGCCAGTAAGAATGTATCTCATTTGAAACATCTGAGGCATGATGCACATAAAAGAATCCCACCTAGCGATCATCTTCAAATGTTTGCCACCCCGCTGTCCTGTTTGTCATTTCAGTTTGCAAACAGCTGTTGTGTAGATTGCTATTCTTAAATCTCCTGAAATTCGTACTCTACGTGCATGCTGACTGGTTTGTTGAGTAATTAATACAAATCTATTGTTAATATGTAGCCAAAACTTAAAGCCTCATGGCTGAGATCAAAAAGTTAGCATCATGCATTCCTGCACCCTGGTGTTGCTCAACTACAGAACAATCACTCACTTTCATCTGTTAAGTTGATAAAGTACCTTTTCCAATTATGATCTATTGAAAATGGATACAGTGTAGTTGCTCAACAATCAACAGTTTGTCCACTTTTCTGTCTACGTTATGCTTAAATCACTTTAAGATTTTTTTTCCCTATTACCATTCCTTTAACTTTATTTACCTCGTATTCTGTCCCTTGAAATCATTCTGTAATGTCTGCCTTCCAGAGCTTAGAGAATTTTAGAAAGGTTACAGCACAACAGAAAGTAATTCAACCCGTTGTACAATTTTATGCCCAGCTGTGACATCATATAAAGCGAATCAAAAGCAAAAGAAAATTTATTTACAGATAGATGTCAGAAACATACTGCAAGGAAGTCTTGGATTGGATGTTCCAGGCAATTTGTTTTTAATGTCAGTAACTTCTATCTATAACATTGGGCCATTTTCAGTCACATTAGCAAATTTGAGTAAGTGGTTCACCATTTGCATTTGTGTGGCATGGAGGAGGGAGTGAAGACGAGGCGACGACGTCAGTCAGATTGGAAATTATTGATCTTTTCTTATGCACTCTGTTAAGACAACAGCTAACTTTGTGCCCTGTGTAAATAAATTAATTTTGGATCGGGTTATCAAATTTCAGATCTCTTCCATCATCATAGAGTCTCGTAAAATTCTTAGCCGTTGTGCTAAGTATACAAGTATCTGAGGAAAAGAAGTTACATCCCTTATTGTTAAAGTTATTGAAGAACATGTGCATGTATAAAGATAAAGTTGCATGACAATGACTATAGAGGCACTACATCTGCCAGCTGGAGTATTGAATTAATGTGAATGTTTGTGTTTTGTGCAGGTAAAGCCAAAGGGGAAAAAGAAAAATTCCCAGAGTCACAAACCAACAAAGGTAATTTTTAAAAAAAAATCTGTACAGTGGGCTGTGTGTCCGTGCACACACACACTTTCTGGTATGACCTGGAGCAATACTAAGTTTACCAGAAATGAGGCTATCACAATAACTTAGCATCACAAAAGTTGCTTGAATTTCATTGTAAATGTCTGCTATAATTGGAGGAAAACATTGAGGTTTCATCAGGGGTATTAACGTTCGATAATACTGAAATTTTTCATCTGTTAGTTTCTTGATCACCTTGTCTTCTAACATGTGATGTCTTGCTTCAGATTCTGCATGTACAAATCTGAGGTGTTGAATGATAACTTTTTTTGTCTTAATCAGAATTTAACATTATCAAATATAAAGATATGTAACACACCAGTTTAAAAAAACGCTTGAAATATATATTCGGTGTTCATACTACTTCTACATATAAAAGCTAAACATATGATTTCTGCCAAATATTCCCCAATCTAAGATTGTAATGACACATTGTAGTAATCCCATTATCGTGACAAATCTTTTTGTTACAGTCTGAGGGTAGGTAGTGAATTTTTTTAACTTGGCCTTTGCTTTTAAGACCAGCAAGTGTGCCGAAGTACTAATAGGCATATCCAAATGTTAGCCAGAGTCTGATTTTTGCTGATAGAAGTTTAAATTCTAAAGCTCTGCTTTGTACCTTTTTTTTTTTGAATATATTCTAGAAGTAAATGTACTAGAGGTTTTATTGAGGTGATCAAGAGTCTGTAATTGCTCTGAGGGACATCTGCGTCTTCAGATGAAGAAATAGCTTCCATACACATTAGGAAAAACTATATTTTTAATAAAAATGCTTTTCTACTCGAAGTAGAGGATTTTTTTTCATTTTTCCATTTATACTTTTATTATAAATTCTCTAACTTTGTGCTGGCAACATGCATTAGTAAGTTCAGATATGGTAGTATTGGAAAGGAGAGAAGATCTCAATATGGAGACTTATTTGCAATAATGAAACTATAATAGCATTTATATTACATTTAAATTGGAACAGGAGTAGACAAAGACCAATTGAACCTACTCCACCAGTAAGATAATGGCAAACCTTCCACATCAGCCCCATGGTCTGAACTATCCTTCTATCTCCTGATTGCCTCAGTGTCCAGAAATCAATTCATCTCAAACTTCGCTATAATTATTGATTTAGTATCTACAGCCCTCTGGAGTAGAGAATCTCCAAGATTTACAGCCCATTAAGTGACAAAATCCATCCTCATAGCAGCTATATCTTATTCTGAGACTATAGCGCTTAGTTCTAGACTTTCCAGCAAGAGGAGGTAGCCTGTTGACATTTATCCTGCCCTGTCAAGCCCATTAGTAATTCAGTATATTTCAATGAGACCATATCTCATTTTTCATAGTTCTCATGGGTTAGCCAATGCATTCCAGAAACCAATCCAGTGAATCTTTGTACCTTTTTTTAAGACAGTACTTAGTTATGTCCAGGAGTAGGGCACTTGGCCCCTTGAACCTACTTTGCCATTTGATAAGATTTTATCTAGTTCTACTTTTTAAAACATAAACCTCACGCCCTTTCCTCCATCACTATCTGGGAAAGAGACTTCCACAGGCTCAGAACCTTCCAAGAGGGGAAAAAAAAATCTTCATTTCAGTCTTAAATGGGAGACCCAATTTTTTTTTTTTAAGAAATTGTGTCCCCTAGTTCTAATCTCTTTTTATGATCTCATTGAAATTCTTAAGTGGCTTGACAGGCTAAATGCTGAGAGGATTGTTTCCCCTCATGCAAGAGTGTAGGACCAGAGGGCATAATCTCATAATAAAGGGGTGCCAATTTGAGATCAGATGTTTCAGCACCTACCCTATGAAGTCCTCTATCTCCACAATGCTGCTAAACGTGCTGAGTTTCTCTAGCTCTAACTCCAGATATGGTCTTAGCTGTGTTTTGTACAACTGAGCAAGAGAACCCTATTTTCATATTCGGATCCCTTTCCAATATGTAACAACGTTCCATTTGCCTTCCTAATTACTTGCTGTGTCTGCATACTAAAGTTTTGTGATATTAGCAGATCTGATATTCCTCACCTCCACTTTCCTGAACTTTCCCAGTGACCTTAATTCCCCAGTTGATCAAGAATCTATCTCAGCCTTAAATATACACAAGGACTCTGCCCCCCGCCGCTTTCTCTGGCAAGGATTTCCAAAGACTTGCAATCCTCTGAGAAAAGAAACGCCACCTCATCTCAGTGTTAAAGTGGCACCCCTTTATTCTGAGACTATGGCCTCTGGTCCTACACTCTTGCATGAGGAGAAACAATCCTCTCAGCATTTAACCTGTCAAGCCACCTAGAGTTTCAATGAGATCATCTCTCATTCTTTTAAATGACCACGAGTAGAGTCCCAACCTGTGCTTATAGGACAATCCCTCCATACCACGGATCATCCTCACGAACCTTCTCTGACCTGCCTCCAATGAAATAGTATATTTCCTTAAGGAGACTAAAACTCTTCACAGTACTCCAAAAGTCATCTCACCAGCACCTTGTACAGTTGCAGTAGGCTTTCTTACTTTTGTACTCCAACTCCCTTGAAATAAGGCGCAGCATATCCAATGGTCTTTCTGATTACTTGCTGCCCCAATGTGCTAGCTCCATGTGTTTTGTGTACAAGTACCCTCCCACATCCTTTGTGTTGAAGCTTTCTGCAGTTTTTCTCTATTTAAATAATATTCTGTTCTTTTGTTTTCCCTTCCAAAATGAAGAACTGTACATTTTTCCCATTTGCCAAATTTTTGCCCACTTAACCTGTCAATATCTCTCTGGAAACTGTTTGTATCCCCCTCTCAACCTACCTTTCCATCTATTTTAATGTTGTCTGCAAATTTGACTACAGAACATTCACTTCCTTCCTCATTAATATATATTATAAACAGTTGTGGTCCCAATGCTGACCCCTGTGGAGCTCCACTGGTCATGAGTCATCAACCTGAAAAAGAATCCCCTAACCCCAGTTGCTATATTGGAACTGCAGGTAGCTGAGAGTATAAGCCAGTGTTATTTTCAAATTTAAAGTCGTTTCATTACAGTACATCTGTTGAGGATAGAAATAGTTCAATCTTGGGAATTCATTAATGCAAATTGTTCACTAATATTGCTTTAAATTCTGTAGTTTAAAATTTTGCTGTGACACCTTATGCTTTGTGGGGATGCAGTGAACCAAGGTGGCTGTTCAACTCTTCGAACCTTTTCTGTTCTCAGCAATGCTTGCTCACAGCCATTTGGATTGCTGAGCCTTGGCCTACTTGCAATGAACTCAGGCCCATTGGATGTTAGTTCTGTGTAATGCCAAGAAAAATGGATTTTTTTGTATTTGTAGGGTTAATTGGTATGGGGGTTGGAGGAGAGGAAGGAAGCAGAAGAGACATCCACTGCAGCCTTGCAAATTTGAGCAGTTTTAAATGAAAATGATAGTTTTGCCTGCTAAATGTTGCTTTTTTTTAAACTGTCTGCCATTTACATTAATTGATTGCTCAACATGGGCTGCAAAAGAGATCAACTAATTTACTGCATGTAATTCTGAAGGACTTGGTAAAACATAGTTAGCCCAGGTGTTTGTTCTCTAATATTATTTGAATTGTAATTTAGGATTGTCAAACCTAGATATGCTGGATTGTTCAAGGCTTGTTTAAGGTCAAACCAATAACAAAGAAAAAATTAATCTGCTGACTTCTCATCAAGTTCCTGAAATAGCTGAGCATTACAATTCAATATTTTAGGTTATTTTTACATTGGCATAAAGCAAGTCAAGAATGTTTACAACAGCAACTTTGTTTAAATGACACAAAAAGTATCAACTTGTCAAAAACCTTGTCTGATTCCCAGGTTTTAAAGTGATGTCACCTAATGAGTATTCCATGATTATACTTTGCCTTTTCAGTCTCTAAATTTCAGCTATTCTTGTATCACCAACAACTGTGCCACCATTTTCTTTGAATTAAAGTCATAAATGTCTTTTTCTGTTTAACTGGTTAGGCCATTCTTCTTGAACTTGACCTTGAAGGTGATTGGTCATTTGTATCACACTGGAAAATATCTCCATCCCACCTTTGCAGTGCTGCTTTTTATCCCAGTTCCAATTGTATCTGTTCTAATAACGTATCCGTATATTCTTCATACAAGCAGAACAATGTCCCCAACGTCCTTCATCCTTTGTCTTCTCCTCATCCTTTTCACTATGGTGACAGATTCTAGAAGCATGGGATCAGGAGCCATATTTATGCTTGCCTTTATCTTCTCAACAATAACTGATTCAAAGTCAGATGCTCATCTAAACTACCATATGATGTGCAAAATTTTTCCCAGCTCAATATTAGAAAGACAAAAACTTAATGTAGTCATTAACTTAGTTCCTATAAACTTCTAAGCATTAGCTTCCTCAACTGCCGTTTCTGAATCCTTTTGGTAGTATAACATCTCTGCGTCTTACTTGATTTTGAGCTGACTTTATTCCTCCACATCTGTTCCCATCACTGAGATTCTTTTCATTTATCATTGCAATACTAACCCTTTTCAGACGTTGCTGTCCTTCAGATTCCATTTCAGGACTTTTATTTTTATATAATAGGTTTATTTTTAACAATATTTTTCTAACTGGCTTCGCTACTTTTAGCCTTCATTTGTTCTAAGTCATGTGGAATAGTATTGCTTGCCTACCCTGTGCCTGCACTTTCATTAACATGGTCCAGGCTAGCCTCCACTAGCTCCCTGTACTTCCATAAATCTGGTCCAATTTATCCCTCATGCACTCCCACATGGCTCGCTTCAACCTATTTCGATGACCTGGTTCAGCTTTGTTTCTGGATGCAGTTCTGAAATTTACATTCACTTGTTTCAGTCTTAAAACCGAGACTAATGCTTGAAAAGCCATAGCCTTCAGTCCACGAATAAACACCTTTTGTTTGCAGTGTAAGTCACTAGTGTTTGCTTGTGTTCTCCATTGCAGTATATTGCAATGATTTC